CAAACATATTTCTGGTTTAGTTCTGAGATGTGATGTTTGTAATGTGGGTGTTAATTCAGATCACTAATGTCTAAAAAGTCCTAAAAATTTGGAACACGATTTTTTTTCTTTCGTTTTGTTTAGAAGCATTGGGTATCACTGAGTACTAGCTACAGATTTCAAAGATGGACAACTTCAAACGCTTAATGAGAGCCGTTGGAATCATTCATCTTATTGATGGGATATTACTACCCATTCTATGGGGGCTGGGATTCCTCTTTGTTGGGACTTACTACAGTCCTATCGCTGCACCGGTCTGGGGCGGTGCATTGGTAAGTTATTAGTAACTCTTTGAATACAAGGTCTAGTGTTTCGCAAAGCGGTCAATTTTTCAAAAGAAATTACCAATAAATTCGGTTTACATATTCCAATATTCTATGGACATTCTTTTCTTTTGGCATGTGTGTTCCGCATCCATTTTGAATATGTCGTAAATATGTTTAAATAAAACGTTACCATACACATGATCGGGTGTTTCACGGACGCCAATTTATCAATGTAAATCTTTAAACCAGTGTGGTGAAATCGTTCAGGATTCCTTTCTTTAAAAAGATTTTGATAGATAAAAATTCAAATAAACCAGTTAGTTAAATGATATTTAGGAGTAATCTTTGGCTTCAAACGTATTAAATAACGAGGTCATCGTCTTTTAATAGAAATTCATTTCACATTGGCCTGAAAGTTATACGCGTTTGTCCCTTTTCAAATTGTTCTTAGTTCTTAATTCCGGCGGGTATTCTGAGCCTAGTTGTGATCTCTACAAGGAACAGGAAATTGGTAAGCATATGTAATATCATACTCCCTCCTGTCCATTGAAGAACACAATATTATGCTAGGTCAATAGAGAACTGCACCGTATAAAGAATTGCACAGTTTAACAGCCCGATTCGGTTTTTTTTATCAGAAAGTGTTTCGTGGTAATGAAAGAATTTGGGAGGGGGACGGAGAATTGCAGAGAAATTTTTGCAAGTGATAGAAACAACTTTCTTTATAAAATTCGATACTTGGCTTGATTCTTCTAATCTTTTCTTTGCATGTATTTACAGCTCGTGACGTGTGGGGCTTTCAATTTAATGGGAGAAGTCGCAGTCTGGATAGCTGGCGGCGCGACAGTTTATGTATTAATTGCCGATTTAAACCTTAGTGATGAGTTGGTGAGTAGGAAGACGTTAGAAATATCAATTATTACCACGAAATAGCCTTTTAAGGATGAAGTGGTTCGCAATAGATATTCAAGCCAGAATACAAGTAATTGGCTGATTCATTTATTATAGCTCGATCAATAATTTTTGTCTGCAGTACATCGCTGATGTCGCAATTGACATTCTTACCATCGTGCTGTGTGGCTTAGAGATAGTAGCGTGCTTCATCGGTGTTCGAGGCATCAGGTATGCGATTGGCATGTTGGAAGAGCAATCGACGCAGGCTAACGGTACCACTGTGGTGAGTCTTGCTAACTCCAGGCACCTATCTCTCCAGCGTTAATGACACACTTTGAAATTACCTGTCGAAGGAAACTCAAGAAACGGGGGAGCTAGCTGGGGAGGGGGGGTCACATGACATCATATGCCACACCTTTGTTTACATACAATGCATATGCAAGCGAGTGTGGGTATGCCACACGATTTAGTAATCACTTTTGCACCGTTTTTCATACGTTTCGGCTGTTTGACAGAAAATACCTGAAAAGTTCACAATTTCATTTCCAGAACTAATAGTTGGGGAGAATGATCTATTGGCCCACCCCTCCGTCAAAATGAGGGGATATGTACCAATCCCGGGATCTACGCCCATGTAAGTGGTGTGATTGGTTAATGTGCTGGCTGATGTTATTTTAAAATGAAACAATTATCATCAAGGGAGCAGTGCTGACAGGCGATTTTGTCAAATTAGGGTTACCCGTGTCCCCTCAAGTATCAATGCTGCAATTAACCTACAACGTGTTACCTTTGTGTACCATTTGGTCAATGCACTTGCAGGTTGCTTTCTATTGGGGACATGTTCCACCCAGTGAATAAACAGAACCATTTGCTTCATATTATAATAATATTAAGATTGTTATAATAGCTGGGTGACTCTTTCAATATTTTATCGTATTCTTCTTTCCTCACTGACCGCCACCCACCGGGTGGCATAAATTAAGTCTCAAGTATTAATACTGACCACATAAGCGATTCTCGCGTACCCGGTTATGACAAACATGATCTTGTCATACCCGATTCTGACATGGCCTGCCATCAAAATGGTAAACCGAAAACAATGGTGAGAGACTCCACAACACGTCATAAGATGACACAGGCTTCGTCGCTTCCTTGAGAACTTTTTAATCAAGGTCCTGAACAAAAATTGTCCGCTAATGAGGCACATTTAGTAATTCCAAAATGATTTAAGTCATCCCTATTCCCCTTGTCCGCGGCATAGATTATCCCACTGAAAAGGAGAACTGTGGCGGGGTGCAAGAGGCAACTTATAAACGGGTGGGACAGGTCTTAATCCGGGACACCATAACCAGCCCCTGCTAAAGTCTTACAAAAGAATTTATTATAACCACAGGGGTGACCAGTTACCCTAAATACAGCAGGGTCGATTACAAAGGGAGTAAAGGGTCCTATAATGTGGGCAACACTACCGGTACTCTTCCCGTAAAATGTTATAACAGCCGTCAAAAAGTGAAAACATGCCCTTAAAGGTGAAATTTGGCAAAGAAACTTCCGAAGCATTGACTTTAAACCAGTTTTTTTTTCAGACAAGCCTCATAGCTTTGTGCACAGGGGCATCAAGTGTTGTCCTTATGTGGAATTCTTTCCCTCAGGGGTATGATAACCTTCACAGAAACCAGAGCGCTTCATGTAGGCCTAACCCTCAAGGGAAAACAGCTCAATGACTATCGCAACCCAGCCGTTAGTCCGATAAGACGGCAAGTAATCCACCACTAATCCCTGTACCACTGGCTCTTAGCTGAAGGTTCATAACCTAAGCTCTATTCCTCAACTAATACCCAATACCCAATACACCTACCGGTCGTCACAGTGACTGCAGGCTCCCCGACACGGTGTTCAACCATCCTGTCGCTACATTACATCACAGCACACAGAGCGTCACGATAAATCGCGCACAACAGTGAAACCGTCACTTGCCGACTCAACAGTGAACTGGAGGTGTGCGCCCCAATCCCAAAATGATCCAGCACACGCAGGGCTGACTGGTCAATTAGCGAAACTGGCGTTAATGCCTATCCTTGTTTTGCCAGCACGTAATTACAACACACACTGGGCGTAGACCTTTTGTATTTAAAAAAAATGGGATCTCAACAAATCAGTTGGCGTTCTCAGAACTCTTTGTAATCTTGACAGTGCAGTACCCGTTCACTGAACAAGATGACGATGAGGAGTTAATCGAATACACATTTCTGGAACGTTCTGTAAATTAAATGCATCTGAATACCCACCCCTAAACCACAGGTGTGCAATGCCCAAGGATGTGATAACCCAACAATGCAGCAGCATCCAGGACAGCCAGCACAGGTGCAGATTGTCGGCGCATCAACACAAGGGCAGTACCCTGAACAGCAGGGGCACTACCCTGGACAGCAAAAGCACTACCCTGGACAGCAGGGG